TGTAGGGTAGCTTGGTTACTAAGGACCATGGCTTGCGGAGTTAGACCTAATATTGAATCTCGTTGTGGAGCCACACTCAATATCCTCTGATATCTTCATTTCCTTCTAAATCTGGTGGTTATTGGGTCTGGAGAGCAAGACAGACCCGAGAGCATTGAATTTGATTGCCAAGCATAACCTAAAAACTTTTGGCATAAAAAACAATAAAGACAATGCTCCTCAACAACATTTTTTCACTAAAAAACAACAAAGCCAATGCCCTAAGGGCTCTACAATGTTGTTTATAGTGCAAACACCTAATGTCTACAATATGATCCACAGTGCAATAAGTTTATGTCCACTGGTACATACATATTATTTTTTTTCCATGCCTTTTAAAATATAGTATAATGTTGATTATTAGTTACTAAAATTTTGAAGACATGTGCTTTAAGGAAAGCTATTTTTCTAAAAATTTAATTTTAGCCCTGTTTTCTTAATTTTTAATAATAAAAATGACATAAAAAATATATAAAAAAAGAATTAAACTCAAAAAATGCGTTATGATACAAACAAGAAGGATTAGAGTTTGAATAAACATGGAGGGATAGAAAACTTTAAATCAATATTTATTTGTAATTTTTTTAATTTTAAATTAATATCTTTTAGTTTTTTATGTTAAAATAAAAAAATTATTTTAATTTATTTTCAATCTTTTACACACTCCAAATTAAAATATAATATTTCTTAAAACAAAAACTACAAGGACAATAATGAAAATAAACAAGCTTACATTTATTGAAAAGAAACAAAGTACAGGGACTATAGTGATAATAAACAAATGAGGTTAAATCATTATCTCAAAATCCAAAAATCCCTTAGTGTGGACTTAAGGTCCACCCCACCTCTCTCTTCTTCTTCTTCCCCCCTCGATTTTTCATTACCATAATAGTACCCACAGACACAACATAAGCAAGCCCTAAAAAATCCTGAGCCGCAAAGCCAAGAGGACGAAGAACGACAACAACGACGTCGCTTCAGCAAGCAAGCAGGCAGGCTCTCTCTTTCTCTTCCTCTGGCAGGTCAGTTGGATTTCTATTTCTTTCTCATTTTTTTTCATTTCCCTTTTATTCTCTTCTTATTGGAACCTAAAAATTATTAGTTCGTTCTTGATTTGTCTCGTATTGTTTCGAAGAAATTACGATCAGGGCTTGCATAAGGAAGAGTTGAATTTCAAATCTATTGAATCTTTAGGGTATTCTTTTTTGCGTGACCTAGAATGGATCAGCAAACCGTACCATGGATCTACTGTGAAATTTGTTCCTATAAAAGCTCATTTTGCATCATTGTTGTTTGTTTTGTCAAGTGCTCTTTGTCTACTAGCTAAACTGAATAAAAGATTGAATTTTTAGGTTTTGCGGGCTGGAATTTGCCATGTCTTTATTACACTTTTTATTGTTGACATTGCTTTTTTTCAATCTTCCGGCTATGTTACAATCTAGTTGAATAAATGGATCAAGAAGCAGTAAGAATACAAATCACCTGCAAAATTTCTCCGGACTTCTCAATAGGTTAAATAGAAGAGAAAGTATAAAAAAGCTAAAATTTCCGCTAATATGAGACATTTTTATAGGGGTTATTAAGTGCTATTTATTTACTATGCTTACCTCGAGAAAAGTTTCTGTATTATTGTTGCTCTTGTTGTTATTATTATTTGTAGTAGTCGTGTTTCCATTTTATGGGCTGGAACTTGCTATGCAGTTATGGTGCTGTTTTGACATTGCCCTTCTAACTGATTTGACTTTTGTGAAGGATTTGATTGTATCCTACACATTGGTGATGAAGTGATTGCAGATTAGTCCTCGACATAGTAGTCGAATCTTGTTTGTCTAATCCTGGTCCTGGAAAATAATGGCGGGAGCATTACCTGGGGAATCTTCACATTATGGGAATTCTGAGAGTGGGCCATCTAGGAGTTCTCAAGACAGGCCAGAGGAAGGGGGTCGCTGGTATTTTTCTAGGAAAGAAATAGAAGAGAATTCCCCATCAAGAAGAGATAAAATTGACTTGAAAAAAGAGACGTATCTACGGAAATCATATTGCACGTTTTTGCAGGATCTCGGCATGAGATTGAAAGTGTGAGTTCATGTGTATATAGTTTTTTCTTATTCTTTTGCTGACTTTTGGCTAATTTTTTTTATTATGTTTCAATCTTTGTCTGATTCTGCTGTGAATCTTCATTTCATTTTTGTTATTGCACCATCGTTTATTTAAGGGAGCTGCAAAGTTTTCTTCATTGTTTACTAGAAATGATGTATACATAAATGAAAAACAAACTTGGGGTTAGGTAATATGAGTGGATATTAGTTCTTACAAGTATTATTTCTTAGCTCAAGCCCTGACCATATGCAGGGGTCTCATTATGGTTGATTATTTTACATGGTAGCTCAAGTTTAGATATTAGTGCTTCTAGATTGTTGATACATGATTATCAAGATAGATGATTTCTTCAAAATTTGATAAGGATTCTGTTTAGTTAAAATGTTTAATTAGTTAGCTTTCTTAAATAAAAAAGAGTTTTTACATTGTAAATTTACCCCATGTAGGACTACCTCTCAGGCTGATGTGCATGGTGATACTCTTATCATGGTTAATTCTGAGAGCTCTATCATTGTTTTTTAAAAAAATTGTTTACAAAGTAAGTCATGGTCTTTAGTTAAGTTGCCGAAACAAATCTGAATGGTGTAATGACATAGGCCTTTAATGAAAGACCAGGTGGTGTCTTAATGCACTTGTATCAAGTATCTGGTATTGGGAGCACTATCTCCTTGTTGTTTTCTTGACATTGAACATCCTCATGTGAATAAGAGTTCAGCTGACAATGTGTTTGGATGCATCTTTCATTTTGAGCTGAAGTAGTAGAAAATCATTTTTATTTCTCTAGCTCTTATATGGACAGTCTTAGGGCTATTTACAGTCATTTTCATAAATGGCTTGGAGTGTTGAGGAAGTTTATAATATGAGAAATTAATAGAAATGGAAGAAGGAAACATGTTCTTTTTTTTTTCCCTCATAAAGATGACTAATATATTTTGCAGTTTGAGGATTGGGCCTTTTTGAATTGTTAGAGCACTCGATAGATTATTGAAATATCAACTTCCATTTATGTTATAAGATGTTGAGAGTTATTTAGTAGTTTATGGATTTCCAAGTCTTAGAGAATGTGATACAACAAGATTACAAATTAGTTGGGGGGAGAATGTGATAGGCGACTGAAATAATGAAGTTTTAGGTATAATAAATGATTTTGACACACACACACACAAAAATGATTCTCATTTAGTAGTTACTTGATCAATATGTATAATGTAATTACAATTTTTCATTGGTGGTTGTAGTGAAGATGTTTTAATTGATAATCATGACCCTTATAATTTGGAATGGGAAACTGTGGCCTTATGAAGTGTGATCTTTCGAACCTACACCTTTTTTTTGCATGCTTCTGCCTGTCATTTCTATCTTTGATGCCATTGAATGCTTGGAAGGATTTCGTTAGTGAACTCTCATTTTGTCTGCATGAAGGGATGTTGGTGAACTGGATTTAGAGAATAGAATTTGGAGAACTCAGCAATGGGGATGATAATCTCAATTATTGCTTTAGATGCTGTATCCC